CTAAAGGTTTTGCTGGAGACTAAAGGTATTCTGCATTAGACAGTGAGAGACTGAGGCTAGTACTGTACTGCTATTACCATTTCACAAGTCAATTCTCAGATTGGCGGGGTCCAAAGGCTGAACATAAAGTATCGAAGGGCCTTGTGTGACCCTTGGGCCACAAGTTGGGCACCAGGGCTCTTGTACTGATGCACGAGCAGTCATAAAAGACAAGATCAAACCCAGTCAGCAATTATAGTATTCTTGATCTGATACTTTTGGCAAACCGTATTTAATTAACAAAAAAAAAAGAAAGAAGCACAAAAATACACAGCTTGTGACTTCAGTTACATAATCAGCCTCACTAGTCAATGTAACAATGTCTGTTGCCAATTCTGTATAGAGATGTGTTTGTTTTCTGTACTTGACCTTCCTTCTTCAATACCTGCTATAATTAAGAAACTGTATAAACACAAACGTAATTGTACTCTAAGAAAACCTCATAATTATCTATTTAGTATGCTACAGGTATTTGGTACAGTTCAGGGAAAACCAGTTAGCTTGTCATTTTATGCGTCCATCTACATTTTAAAGTGGTTGCAAAGGTTTTTTTTTTTTTTTTTTTTTTTTAATACCACAATGCATTCTCTGCATTAAGGTAAAAAAAACCTTTTATGTGCAGCTCCCCCTCAGACCTCTCATAAATACTTACCTAAACCCAGTCTCAATCCAACACGGTGCCCATGAACTGTGGCGCACTACTCGATCTCCCTCCTCACTTGACTAAGTGAGAGCAGAGGGAGCCATTGGCTCCTGCTGCTGTCAATCAAATCAAGTTACAAAGGAGTGGGGGTGGGCAAAGCAGCACTGTGTGCATAGGAATCTGCATTCTATAGTGGCAACACGGAGAAGAGAAGGCGGCTGCTCTGTGCAATACCATTTCACAGAGCAAGCAAGTATAACATGTTTGTTATTTAACCGCTTCCTGACTGCACTAAAGCAGATATACTGCTACAGAGCGGCACAGGTATGCAAATTCAAGTATATATATATTTCCGGGTAGGGGACATGCGCGAGCCCTACCCACGCCACCATTCGCAGCCGCGGCGGTCAATCACCGGGTCCTGGTGTAAACCAATTAATTTACAAGTATTGGGATTTTGTTTTTTGTTTTTTAGCAAAGACATGCAGCAGAATACATTTTGACCTAAATTATTGACAAAATGTGTTTTTAAAAAATATTTTTTTACCTATATTTAATAGCAAAAATGTTGTTTTTTGTTTCTCAAAATTGTTGGTCTTTTTGTTTTTATAGCGCAAAAAACAAACAAAAAAAAACGCACAGGCAAATACCACCAAAAGAAAGCTCAGTTCATGGGAAAAAAAGGACGTAAATTTCATTTGGGTGCAGGGTTGCATGACCGCGCAATTGTCAATAAAAGCACTGCAGCGCTGTAACGCAAAAAAAAAAAAATCCTGGCAGGAAGGGGGCAAATCCTCAGGAGGGCAAGTGGTTAAAAAAGAAATTCTTTAAATGAACTCGTCATACATCTGGAAAGATAAACTAAAAATGGATTCAAAACCTAACCAAACCTTTCCAATGTCAAAATAATTTAGTTAGTATAAAGAAAACCATTTTTTATTGTAAACAGGTTAAGTACAAACAGCTAGGTAGCAATTTTTTTTTCCAGAGAAACCTAACCTTGTCTGAGGTGGAGAAGGAAAATGAATGCTGGTTCCAAGACCGTAACATCATTGGAAGTGAAACTGAATACACTCATCTTTACCTGTCTTTCTAAAGTTGGCTACAGATATGTCGTGTACTCCAGGATTTTACATCTCTCTGGCATAGAGGCAGAACAGTTCACCCATTTATCATACTATCTATTGTGACAAAGAGCCCTAGGTGGCCCAGAGAATTGACTGGGAAGGACTTTAATCTACCCATACTGTATATTGCCTTCCCTGGTTCCCCAATCCCCCCGTATCAACTTGCTAATGATATTTTTAATTAAAATCTTTCCCTTTTTATTACATATCCTTTTTTTAGACCTAGTGACAGTCACTGGGTCTCCATTCGTCTCTATGCAGAAATATCATTACTGGTGGATGGGACTGTCAGGATGCTGTACAATGCTTACCAAAAAACATCACAGCACCCTAAGTACTCTGAAAAGATATCAAGACTGATGTAAGCAGTGAGCTAGATCTTGGGAGAAGTTATGCAATACCAAAATGCATAGATGAGTGGATGTCAAGTCTGGGGCAGTGGGTGTTCCTAGACGGACTGAACTAGGTAATGCTCGGTTGTGATACCATGTCTCCATGCTTGAAAGAACGGAGATCCAGTGAATGAAAGGGATGGATCAGGGCAAGTAGGATGGGGAAGTCGGGCAGAGGAGAAAAAAGCTAGATGATGCTGGCTGTTATTTGGCCAGGAAAGAAGGCTGAAAAGCAAACTCATTTTGGGCAGCTGCTAACACATACTGGGGGAAGTTCACAGTGTACAGTGAAATCAGAGTAAGCAATTTCAGTCCAGGAGAAGCCTGTACAACCGTTCAAGATGAAAAATACGGCTGGAGTTCAGCTTTAAGAAAATGCTCATACGGGTGTTCATGCAATAGCCAGGTTCTGAGATCCTGACTATTTTGGGCTCTGAACTCTGGTCAGAGAACATGAAGATGGGCTCAACAACTCTATGTTTGGTTTTTGCCAGGACGTAGTCAGGTGCTTTAAACAGGAATTTCCTGGCTTAGGGGTCATCCATAATTTTAGTTGTGTCATTTGACATTAAAATGGGAAAAATGGCCATTATCTCTGATTGGCTAAATAAAAATGGACACACACACACACCTGACCTGGTAAAAGTAAAAGAAAAATAAAAGGTAAAAATAATTTTTAAAAATATGCTGTGGGTGGGGAAGGAATGGAATGGTGCATTTTGCAATTTTTAACTGAAGGTGCACATAAAGTGTAACTTCTATCAGCCACAGTTAAACAAAGGGCACATTTAGTTAGGACATCAACTTTCACATAAAATACAGCAAGTTCAGTCACTGCAGTTTATGTCTACAGAAAGATTTCTTTATCATGATCTATGATAAAACAAAGCACTATGGGAGAATTCCCTTTACAGCGGAACTACTATACATCTTCATTGACAGAACTAATGCTCTGTTACCTGACTGAGGACAGACCAATTATCTCTGATTACTCAAGGATTACCTAAGGTAGAAGATAAAATGAATATGATTAGCTACACAGAAAATAAAATTACTGTAATTGTTTTATTAGCTAGATTGCTCAAGCAGGATGGTCAACATGTTACTAAATAAACTTAAAATCGAGTGCCTCAATAACAGTTACAGATAAAATCCTCGGTAACATGAAGCAAAGTGCTTACCATGCGATAAGTGCTGACATTTTTGGAGGAAACCATTACAGAAGCCTTTAAGGGAGGCCAGCTCTGCATGTAAAATAATTCTGCTACACTGCTCATACACATCTGCTCTCCCCTGAATCACTGGACACCTGGTTGTGTTAATCAGCACCACAGTAGTTCAGATTAAGCACATTTTGGTAATAAATTGTTTGCCAGCAAACAAAGGTTTTTCTTTATGCAGTACAAATTTACTATCCAGGATAGGGACCAGTGAAGTGACTAGTTTCAGGCTGCTTCCTTAGGGATGCAACTAGTCCCTTCCAACTGGATAGGGTTTATCAATTACAATGGGTTACAAGAAAGGGCAATGACATGCTTCACTGTATATGTAAAATCCCAAATACCACTTAAAGAGAACTCAAACTGGCAAATGACTGGTCATTATTGTGTGTGTATGTTGCCTGTCTCTGTGGTGCTGTCATGGTAGAGGAGCAAAGTCTTACTATATTGCATTAGAAATGACCACTCTCCACCCCTTCCCCGATTACTGGCGTCTGGTGTGATAATGATCAAGAAGCAGTAGCACAGGTCAACAGAATAAATGAAGCAGGGAAATCCTTGCACTGCAGGTCATCAGGTAGAGCTTGTTCCAGCAAGAAAAACAGTGGGCAGAACAGTAATGACATCATCAAATCTTAAGAGACTAGCAGCCAGAAACAATGGTGCCTTAGCTGTTCTCACACGGTTTTATACTGCTTCAAAATTAGCCTTTCTATATACAGTATTCCCTAAAAGATAGTACATCTTTGTTTTTTTAATATATCTCCGCTTTAACATAATTATAAGTAAGTTTTAAAGGAAACATACTGAGAGAAATACAACACCTGTCTTTGCCATCAGCTGCAAACTAGCATTAGTACATAAGAGAAGGTCACCAATGGCAGCCTATATACTTTGTGAGTATACACATACACAGACCTGCACACATACATAATTCTTCTGGACAAATCTTGGGTCATTGAGAGGCTGACCATCTTAGAATTTAGACACTTCCCCATGGCAAATTTATATTTTTCTGTGTTTTCATGCATAAGACAAGGCTCAGTGAATCAACTATGCACAAAACATAGGCACTGGGGTGCAGAAAAAAATGACAGCAGGTTCTCTGAACTGAGGAGTCAAAAATCTGAAATATTTGGCTGTAACAGGAGGCAGTTTCTTTGCAAGGGGCTGGAGAGCAGTACAATACGGAGTGTCTTGCAGGCGCAGCGAAGCATGGTGGAGGTTTCTTGCAAGTTTAGGGTTGCATTTCTGCAAATGGAGTTGGAGATTTGGTCAGGATCAACTGTGTCCTCAATGCTGAGAGATACAGGCAGATACTTCTCTATCATGCCATAACATCAGGGAAACGTGATTGGCCCCAAATGTATTCTGCAGCAGCACAACGACCCCAAACATACAGCCAATGTCATTAGGAACAATATTTAGTGTAAAGAAGAACAAGGGGTCCTGGAAGTGGTGGTTTGGCCCCCACAGAGCCCTGATCTCAACATCGAGTCTGTCTGGAATTACATAAAGGCACAGAAGGCGTTGATCCAGCCTACATCCACTGAAGATCCATGATTAGTTCTGCAAGATGTTTAGAACAGCCTACCTGCCAATGCTTTGCACTGCACTTGGTGATGTAACGCTTGGATGCAGCTGCTCGGCCTTGGAAACACATTCCATGAAGCTCTCTACACACTGTTGTGCTAATCTGAAGACCACGTGAAGTTTGGATGTCTTTAGTTATTGATTCTGCAGACAGTTTGGGACTTCTGTGCACTGTGAGCTTAAGCATGCGCTGACCCCGCTCTGTCATTTTACATGGCCTACTACTTGGTGAGTTGCTGTTCCCAGTTGCTTCCACTTTGTTGTAACACCACTAACAGTTGACCGTGGAATATTTAGTAGCAAGAAAATTTCATGAATTAACGTATTGCACAAGTGGCAACCTATCATGGTACCACGCTTGAATTCACTGACCTCCTGAGAGCAACTCATTCTTTCACAAATGTGTGGAGAAGCAGTCTGCATGCCTAGGTGCTTGATTTTATACACCTTTGGGCCATGCAGGTGATTAGAACTCATGAATCTAATCATTTAGAAGGGTGTCCCAATACTTTTGGCAATATAGTGTGAGTGTTGCACTTATGCCATGCTATTCCAGGGCAACAAAAGCACAAGAAAACTATTCCCCATTAAATCCTAAATCCAAGCTACTGTTTGGTGCCAGATAGGACAGCATACCTTCAGAGGTCTAATGGCATCCACACCTTAATGGGTCAGGGCTGTTTTGGTGGCAAAAGAGGACCTACTCAATATTAGGTGGGTGGTCATAAAGTTACGGTTAACTGTTGTATGTTCTCCCTTTCAAAATACACAAATCATATGGCGCAAGCCTAAGATGTGAATAACAATATATCTAGAACTAGTAATGGAGCAAACAGTTATCAGTCCATAAGGTCCATATCATTTAAAAAGTTCATAATCAATAATCAACAGAAAGCACACAGTAGGCAGCTCAACCAAGAGACTGGAATGTATCCCTGTAGGAAGCGGAGAAAAAAACAAGGGTGCGCCACTAAGTGCAGTATTAAAATAATATTTAATAAGCCATAAGTATTGCACTCAGATAATACCAGAAGTGAATCTCACGTATAGACATAGCTCCGGCATAAAGGATCACAACCGCTCCAGTACTGATGTATTCATGGCAGCATGGGGGAAAGAAAAAAAAAAACACAGCCAGAGAACCAGCCAAGCTTCTGTGCCTTACAAGAGGCACCAACTTCCAGAATCGTCCTGGGATGTGGAACTGGAAGTGACATCAAAGACCACTTTGAAGCTCACGACCGGAAGTGACGTCGATGGAGGGAGGATCCGTAGCCTTTGTAACATTTTTCGGAGCACCAATCAGCTCTTTCATCAACCTTGACAGGCTGAGGGGACAATCTCTTTATATATTGGTAAAATATCCTTTGTAGACAGGACAGGGGCGGTCTAAACATGATGGACAGTGCTACGGTGGTCACTAGAAATACACAGAGCTCATATATAAACAATTATATTTTCTATCAGGGTGCTTCACTTGTCTAAAGTGGCTATATAGCATTGGTATACACAGAATATTGTTTTAACACCACACTTAGTGGCGCCCCCTTGTGTTTTTCTCCCTTGCAGCCAGGGTATTGGCGGAGGGCCTGTTAGGTAAGCTGTATGGGGCCCCACGATTTCTAATGGCAGTGTTGTTGTGAGGCTATGTCACATGGGAGGCAGAGGCTGAAAGATTTGGGCTAATATTAGGTAAATCCGGCAATGGATGAGAACGTAGCAGCTAATAAGATTTTACTGACAAACTGAGCTACGTTTTGCAGGTGTGTGAGAAAAGTGAACTTCACTCAATCCGAAGTGAGACATACTGGATCTTTGCTTTCACAGAGAAAAAAAAAAAAAACGAAGTTCAAAACGGTTACATATCTATTAAAATTGTAAAAACAGCCATTTAATTTTAGTGACAAACAATCATTGCAATAAACATGTATACAGCTATTGAATGTGTAGTTGTTTGGCTTGTGGTCATTGCAAATAATTCCGCACAAGTCACAAAGTTGTATCTGCAGACTGTTATGACTTTTTTTTCTTTTTTAAATTCCCTAGTGGATATTGTAGAAGCCAAGACATTAATGGAAGCATATTTTCAGCCAAATAACGCTCTATCCATATGTCTCATGCAGAGAGCAAATGTATTACCGGCAAAGATCCAACAATAGACAGAAAAATCAGAAGCAGTACACATGCATAGCAACAATGTCCTTGAAATATTTTCCAAGAGTTAACACAACAAGGGTCAGCCAATGAGCATTTTCCAATTGGCAATAACTCAATCCTGCATTGATCACTTGAGAATAATGAAGTCAACTATTCTTAATTTAATTTACTAACCCATGAACCTAAAGAAGTTGTCAAGTGCATATTTGTCAATTTTATCCTACTAATATATAACTAAGGGTATCCACCCTGTATGGCTAAAATTGATCTCTGGGATCCCAGATATACACACCCCTACTCCTCTCCAACTGACCACTGATTTTAGAAAAAAAAAAAGATAAGAACAAAAAATGTGCAGGATGAGACAGGGGGTGAAGGGATCTGTGGAAAGGGGTAAATATTTTCCAGGAGATGATTTTTAATGAAACTTTGAAGGGGTGCACAAAATACTGCTATTTTGAGGTTACAAAGAAAAAAAAATTTACTAAACTTTTTAAAGTTTTGTTTGACATTAATAAAAGCTTGCTATCCTTAGTAGGTATTCACTGCTTTCCCCAACTCTTGGCAGACAGATCTGCGCTCTTCTGCAGATCTTCTCGGTTCTTTTTTTATTCCAGTATCTGCCCTGCTAATTATAAGATAAATTTGTGTCCACTTGGGGGCAGGTGCCATTGGTACACTCCAAGAATGTTTCAGAATTTCTCAGTCACACTCTTAGATTCTCTATCGCAAGATAAGAAGAATCCACTCTGCAAGGATAACAACAACCCTAATCTTTGGTTATGCCTGCATGAAGGATAGAGGATCTGCTTACTAGGGTCACTGGGTGAGATAAAGATCTTATGAACAACTGAATTATTATTCTGGCCAATGAAATTAATTAACACCCAAGCACGTGACATGTCTAGAAGCGTCAAGCAGTTTTCTGCCAAAATGCTGCTGCTAGGAGGAAAGGAGTTTAGGAGAGCTGGGCAAATGCCCTGTGTGCATGAGGCCTTACTGAAGAAAACTTGAGAGTCTATATTAGGAATAATTACTTTTAAAATTGCATACATAATTTCCTTTGAATATGTAGGAATTAAGGCATACATTCCCAAACTGTGAAACTTGCAGCAACACAGGTTATATGTTGCTTGCTGACATTCAAATCCCTGTTAACATTTGTAGCATATCAATGAAAGTACTTACAAAATGATCCACACTGACAAATTAGCCACTGGAGTCCACCCTTGCAGACCTATTCTTCCAGCTGAAACTAGTGTAAAGAAAGATAACTGAAGCTGTAGACTCTGGGGGCACCCTAACCACTTCCAAATACCCTGTAAGCAAGCTGCCACTCTTTAAAATTAGGGAAAGGAGGAAGGAAAAAAAACACTAGCTAGGACATTGATCAGACTTAACCACTTGCCCTCCAGAGGATTTAACCTCCTTCCTGATCAGGCAAATTTTTGCTATACGGCGCTGCGTTACTTTAATTGGCAATTGCGCAGGCATGCAACGCTGTACATAAATGAAATGTATGTCCTTTTGTCCCCCCACACAAATAGGGCTTTCTTTTGGTGGTATTTGATCACCTGTACATTTTTTTTTTTTTTGCGCTATCAACGAAAAAAAAAAAAATTTTACTTTTTGCTATAAAAAACAAATCCAGTAAAAAATGAAATAAAAATTAAATTTCCTCATACATTTAGGTCAAAATTTATTCTGTTACATCTTTGCTAAAATAATTCCCAATACATGTAAATTAATTGGTTTATGTGAAATTTATAGCGTCCACAAATGGCGATATATATATATATATTGGATTTTTTTTTTCTTTAATACTAGTAATTGCAGCAATCAGCGAGACTGTGGTGGGCATTCTGACACTGGGAGGAACTGACTGCCACTGACATCCCAATAACACTAATACAGTGATCAGTACTAATAAAAAACACTGACAATGTACTAATGACACTGGCCAGGAATGTTACTGCTGGCAGGGGAGAGGCCTGTGTTGTGTACACACAGGTCTCTCCCCTGTTAGTAATACTCGGCGAACGCCGGGTGCCAGCTGGGAATCTCCGGCCGGGAACCGGTGATCGACATCTATAGCTGCCAATAGTGGTGCGGGTATTGCCAAGCGCGCCCCCTACCTGGGAATGCAAAATCATATATATACACACACAAGTGATTTTGCACAGCCCTGCCGCCCTGTAGCAGTAGTTCTGCTGTAGGGCAGCCAGAAAGGGGTTAAAGCCAACCAAACTCTCTCAATCAATATTAACTATTTTTAATCCTCATACAGTGGGACTTTCACAGCTAAGCACACCCTCCTGCCTGCATGCCTGTGCAAAGGGCACATCGATTTTAGAAGGTAAATGCTACATGAATCATCTGCCCTTACTCAAGTTGACTGCAGTCAGAAATGAGGGGGGAGTGATTTCTCAACAGAGTAACGCACGGAGACATGAATGGAAGGGTGAGTATGCTTGGAATAGTAAAAAAAAAAAAAAAAGGAAAATAGTATTTTCAGTTTGTAGTGCTCAGATAAAGTTAGGTTCTGCTTTAAATGAATTACCAGGTGTATATTATATATCATTTCCTTTAACAAAACGGTTTGAAAAAGGGTCTTTTCCAGTTGGGTTTGGCAGAGGTGTCCTTGCCTTGCCAAAGTTAGTAAACACAGTATACTCTCCATTGGTCTGCTGTGCTATTTGTCATGTTCCATTTTAACATACAAGAATAAGAGTATGCTAAAAATTCTGTTTGTTCCAGACAAAAAAAAAAAAAAACCATTTGCTGTAATCTTCACCAGTTTCCTGGGTTATTGCCTGTTCTGACAGAGAATATAAACGCTGGATTGTATGATAAGTGTCATGAACATACAACATGTAACTATGGCTTATCATAAGTTGAAGAAAGAGTGGACACCATCACATCAGGATTTGCCGAAATGCTGCCTGAGTAGGTTGCTCTGTCTCCAATCCTGCCAAGCTTTTTCTCCTGCAACTCAAACTGAGCAGTAAATTGTCACAAATACAGGATAAACAGTTTCTGACAGTTTAGCCTACTTGATAATACAGGATCTTCTTCACATTTATTCCATATATCATCTAAAGGTGAAAGCCACTGAACAGAATCGGTCACATTGATGACTTTGCTAAAGACATGCTAGTAGGTTAATTGACTCCTGTCTAAATTGGCCCTAGTATATATATGTATGAATGTGAGTTAGGGACCTTAGATCGAACGCCCCTTGAGGGTTAGGGACTGATGCGAATGTA